TACTAGAACAAGCGAAGGCCACACAACATGACGCCAAACACACGATTGCACGCACCGCGCCGCACCCAGCACCCGCGCCCGCCGCCTCCCCGGCCCCCGCCCCGCCCAGGTGGGAAAGAGACGGAACAGGAAAGGAGCGGAACGAAAATACGTGTGCAGGTTGGAGCACTTGGAGTGCAGTCATTAGCCTCACATCCAGGGCCGAGGAGCTAGAAAACCGTTTTTTTTTTCTTTCTAAACCCCAAACTGGCGGCGCCGCTTCTGCGGAGCATGCTGGAGCGGTACAAGGTCACCGTCGAGGAGCGAGTCAACCTGAAGCACGTCCACCGGCGGCTGCAGGCGCCGCGCCTCTGCCGCCTCTCGGCCACCGCGGCAGCGAGTTTACTGCCTCCGTCTCGGTCAGGTGGTTGCCAAGCTTCTGATCGTCGCGACCTTTGTCGAGGACGCGCTGCGCGTGCTCTTTACCTTTGGGGTACAGCAGCAGTCGATGGAGATCGCCGGGTGGACCTCTCCCGCGCTGCACACGCTGTTGCCGCTGCTGTCGCTCGCCGTGCAGTCGTGCGGCGCGCTGCTCGTGCTGGCGTCTTCGGGCGTGGGCGGAGAGGTGGGCTGCTACCTGCTGCTCGGCTGGTGCGTGTGGCACCCCTTCATGTACGGCCAGGCCGGCAACCGCGAGTTTGTGCTCGAGACGGCGACCATCTCCGGCGGGCTGCTGATCCTGCTGTCGCACCTGCTGCTGCTGCGAACAAAGGCGCCGCTGCTTGGCGGGGTGTCGGCGGCGGCGGCGCAGGAGCAGAAGGACCGGACGGCGACGGCGCACCGCATCCAGGCGGTTGGCCGCGTCCTTGTCGTCTCCTTCTTCCTCTACGTCGCCGCGACAAAGACACACGCGTGGTGCTCCTTCCTCTGCCCGGCCTCGCAAACGCTCCCCACGCTCGCTCCCTCCCTCCGCCACCCTCCGCCTCTCCGCCCTACCCTCCCCCCTCCCTCGCTCCCTCGCCAGCCGACCCCCCCCACCCCACCTCGTCTCCTCTCCCTCCCCACCTCGCACCGCGCGCCTCCCCTCCCCTTCCCCTCTCCCTCTCTCTCCCTCCCTCCTCGCCGAGGCCGCCTGCCCCCCCCGGCTGTGCTTGCACCAACAACAGTACCGATGGGCGGCCTGCCCCCCCCGCCTGCGCCGCGCCGCAGGAGCGTCTCGCTCTCCCTCGGACCAGGGGACGGGCCGGGCGTGTGGGGGTGGGGCACGAGGACGGCGCGAGCTAGCAGAGAGCCCCGCAGAGAGCTTGGCAGAGAGCTGGCAGAGAGCTGGCAGAGCGGTGGCAGAGCGGTGGCAGAGAGCTGGCAGAGCGGTGGCAGAGAGGTGGCAGAGAGCTGGCAGAGAGCTGGCAGAGCGGTGGAAGAGCGGTGGCAGAGAGCTGCTTAGGGGATCCGAGACAATCAGAGACCGTAGTCTGTCCGGCAGGTCGAGCTGCTCCTCTCGCTGCTGATCCTCTACCTCTGCTGGCGCCCGGCCGCCCCGCCCGCCCCGCCCGCCCGCCCGCCCGCCCGGCCCGCACGGCCCGCATGGCCCTCTCCCGCAGCACGCCTCCGCAGCCCTCGCGTAAGGCTTCATGTCTCCCCATATCTCCCCATATCTCCCCACATCTCCTCACATCTCCCCATATGTCCTCATATCTCCTCACATCTCCCCATATCTCCGCGACCGCTCGCGTAGGCTTGTCGTCATCGGCATGAAGTCGCGCGGTGCGACACACGCCACCCTCCCGCTCCTCACCGCCCCTCCTCACCGCCCCACCGCCCCTCACCGCCCCCCCGCCCCTC